AGAAGTAAATGAACAAAAGAAAACAAATTGTGGAACATGAAGCTCACAGGTTCTATGGGGTCCCAAGAGAGGACACATGGCCAACGTGAGGTTTACTCAATACAATGTAACTAATGTGTCGTGACATGTTTTTTTTGTTTTCGATTAAGAAAACGACAAAAGCAAATTCATAACACTTTTTTTCGAATCAATTCTATAGCCCTTATGTCGGTTTTTTGTGAGACAATTTTTAGACTCAAATACTAGTTTAAGACAGAGCAATAATACTACTAAATTATGGTTCGTATCTTGTGTGATTTCATCGTATTTATGGCATTTAGCAATAGCTCTCCACCATTCCTACTATCATCCAATTTAAATATTTAATATAAACTAAGAAAAGCAGTGGCCACCAAACTCGTAAAATTTTATGGGATTTTAAACGTTCCTAATGCAAAACTCATTAGTAAAAAACTAAAAATATAGGGAAAACGACCTATTTTTCCATCGGAAGTATTAGTAATAGATCTATCCAAATTTTCAATCTAGACATAGATTCCTTAATTAGAATGTTTAAAACATATTTCTCCCCAATTAAAAAGTTTTAAATTTATTTACACACAAAATTTGATTTTATCGGTTATGGTTAACAAACCGACTAAACCTAATCCTAAACCAAATAAAACCCAATGATATGAAAAACTGACCTTATGAGTTATTATGACCAAAGGGTGCTCTATATCCTCTTCTCTTTTTCTCGTTGAAAAAACCCAGAATTCTTCGAAAGAAGACTACCCAGCTACGAATCTCAAGAAATTACATGTATTGAAGCAATTCGATTTGGTAACAAAAGTAAGAGAACGCAAAGTCTAGGGATTGAGATTGAACATACACATTGAATCAATTCGATTTAACCCAGCTTCAACAAAGTCAAATTGATTAAGTTTATTTAACATAACTTCGATAATCAGATTCAGTTCGAACTAGATTGGTTTCACGAAGGCACATGTGTTTATCTCGTCGCAAAACAGTTTTAATTAGTTCAATTTTCGTTTGGTGTAAGATGAGGAGAATTATCTGGGTTAAGGAGCCGTCGAGCTTTGGTTGGAGCAAAGGCGGGGACGGCATTAGTGGAGGAAGAGAAACGAGAGATAGTGAAAGAGAAGAAGAAACTGAGGGTTTTAGTGGCTGGAGGTGGAATCAGAGGTTTGGTGTTTGCTCTTGCGGCGAAGAAAAAAGGGATTCGATGCTTTGGTGTTTGAATTTGGTGATCTAGAGCCGCTATGGAATCCTCTCTTCGATTTCCTTCTTCAACAGCTTCACGGAGAACCTGGGCCGTATCATCTCCTTCGCCATCTCGGCTTCGACCACTCCATCCTTTTTCCTTCATTCTCGTCGAATTGTCTTGTCGTTTCTGGGTCTCTGTCTCCGTACTGATTCCACCGCCGGAGACAAGCAATTTTTGTCGTGACTTGGGAGGAGCTATCTGGGTCGTGAAACAAAGAACATAGGTTGGTTTTGATTTAATTTTGATTTTGGTTTAATTCGGTTGAAATTGGTTTAGTTTTGGATTTGTTTGGTTAGCACTGGATTGGTATATAATAAACCAAAATTAATTGTGGTTTGTGTGCAATTTAGTTCTAAACTTTCATTTGATAGATAAATAAGTTTAAAACTTTCATTTTATGGAGAAATATGTTTTAAATTTTCCAATTAGAGGATTTATGTTGAGGTCGAAAACTTGGGTGGATCTACTACTATATAATATTTCTAAGGAGGAAATATATCGTTTTCCAAAAAATATAAAAAATATAAGAGAGTCAAATTCATCATTGCGTTGAACATAGATCAATTTAAACGTGCATATTAGTAAAAGTGATTTTGACGACTTTAAAACCTTTGTTGGGTTAGGTGATGTGTTGTGTTTGAGTCATTTGTATGTTTTTTCTTTTCATTTTACATTTTGTTATCGGTTCTAGATGTTCTTAGTGTTTAGTATTTAGGTAGTCATCATTTTTAATCCGTAGCTCCAATCACGATAATTTGGTACGCTGAAAAGATAAGTTAAAAAGGGTTTTTACTCATCCAAGATTATTGAACTACAGAAAAGATCCCTCTATTTAGATATTAAATATTTTTGATTAAATTTAACTATTATGTTGTTATTTAGCAACCAAACATATATATTAAAATACATATGAAAATAGGATTAGATTAAGCTTCACTATATATATATATGAAAATAATCAAATATTTAAATTTGAAAATTGAGAATCGTCATAACTATACTTCCTATAGTTAATTAGATTCTAAATTCAATTAATTATTATTTGTTGATTATTACATTTAACAATATTTAAAAATAATAATAATATAATTAATCTGTTACAATTCTTTTTTGGTGTAATCCAAATCTTTAAATAAAATAGCTTGGAACCAACATTTTTGCTCTATTTTGATCCAAATATATTTTTAGCCTATAGATTTGTAAAAGTGTTGAATATGAGAACACAGTTGCACATATGCCATTTTAAATGGCTAAAGTTATGTTATTTTATTAATTTCGAAATAATTTCGTATCTATTTCTGTTGTAAATTGCAAGTGAATCAAAAATAAATTCGTAAAATGTTTGAATTAGAGAAATATACGATTAAAGTGAATACTCTTTGCACGATTGAAGTGAATACTCTTTGCCTAGAGTTTCAATATTATTAATTTTGTGAATTAGTGAATGTTTGAAACCCATGAAGGCTCATTTATATAAACTCCAAAACCTGATATGAGCATAAAATAGGAAAATTTTAGGTCACCTGGAGTAACATTACCTTTTGATTCAATAAGGGTAAATTCATATTTTGGTCAATCGCTTGAAAGAATTATCTAGCAATACATCAGATATTTAGTCACTTTGAGTATAATAATTTCAATCTCCACATCATACAATAGCCCTCATGAGGCACTCATTTTCTTAACGTCCAGTAAGTACTGCAATTGTATATACAGTAAGACCTCTATAAATTAATAATGTCGGGATCGTAATATTTTATTAATTTATCGTGATATTAATTTATCTATAAATTAATAATTATTTTATTAATTTATAGAGAAAATTTGCTTTCCGCTTATAATTTTCTAAATATTTCTTTGGAATAATGTTATATTTTAAAATTTTAACAAATTTCGTAATGTAAATTATGTTTAACAATCATAACTATCGCAATAAAATAGTTTTTAATACCATATTGAATTATCCATGTAAAAATATACATGTTCATAAGTTTAAAATTTATAAAAAGACTATGATTACTATCCGTATTATTGATGAGTAAATTGAAGATAACACTACAATACATTTAAAAACATTTACAGATAAGAAAATCAATTATCACACTAAAGTTATCATAAATTGAATGTATATCCTAAAACATCAATAAAAGCTACTGATATAATAATTAAATAAATAAGATCTAATGAGATTTCAACCTTAAGTAAAAGCAAACACATTAGTCATATTTTAAAATACTATATTTACATATATTTGTATAAATATATATAAGTATTAATTTATGTTTTTGTTGGGACCATATATTTACATAAAGATTTCAAAAAAATTATTATCTTATTATCTTATCAAATTTGATGATTTTTACATTGGCCCAACTTGGGACTAGTAAAATTTATTAATTTATAGTGATTATTAATTTATAGAAGTTTTACTGTATGTTGTTGGGACAAATACATTCCTTTTTGGTTATCTCCCGTTAGGTAAGTCCGAAATCACGATATATCGTCTATTGCAATTGATGGGTCGTTTTTATGTCATGTTTAGGCCTTGTATTTATGATTTAAAACTTTAAGTTTGCTAAAATTAATTTCAAGGGGTAACTAAGATAGATTCTGGTGCAACTAATCTATGTATAAACACCAATTGGAAGAAGAAAGCTCCATTGTCTTTAATCAAACAAAACCCATCCCCACTTTTCAGATTCCCCAAACATCAGAAAACAAACACAAGACTTAAATAAAAACCCATTGAAGAATATAGTGGTAATATGGTGAAATGAATTAATCATCTACAGTTGGTAAAAATCTCACCATCTCCATTGAAGAATATAGAAAAATGAAAAAAAATTTCAAAACTAAAAATAAAATGATTTAAAAGAGAAATATCTTTAGTTTGTGTTGTAATTTTTCATCTTCATTTGTATTATTTATATGTTTTTTTATTGGAAGAAAACATCATCATTTATCACTTTATCATATTATTTTGAGAAAATTTTGTTTTTCAGTTTTTACTTTACTTAGCTTTTCATTTTGTTTGAATCTTATCGTTATAAATTATAATATTTTGTTTATGTTTGATTGATTGTATGTTTTCATTATTTATTTCCTTCCAATTTTATATGTTTTGATCATGTGTTTCGTTGATAACTAATACTTAATTACTTGGACAAACTTAGTTGTATAACTTTTAATGATCGTAGATAGAAAAAAAAACTGTCAAAATTATGTATATGATTACAATTTTTAATTGTACAAATTTGTTTTTTGACAGTAAACACATGGTATAACATAAGAATCAAATAAAAATATACATTACATAGAAAGATGACAAAAAGCATATTTATTTAAAATATATATATTTTTTAAACATTCATCAATTTGAAATGGAGAGAGTTTTTAATAACCAAAAGCATTTATTTATTTTATTTTTCTTAATAATATGTATAAAGGGTGAATCAGCAACTACATTAAAAGTCTAATACAAATCACTAAACTATATACTATACTTATTAATATCTTTCCTTTTAGGAACATGGATTATTATTTTGGGGGAGTGTATGATTATACTACATTGAAAACAAGGGAAAATAAAATATTGCAAAGGAAGTACAGTTGATGATATAAAGTAACCATGGTTAAATCCAAGAACCTGAAAGGCTGAAATATAAGAAACTGGATTGACTAACCATAGTTAAGGCTTCTCTGGTTAAAAGATATTGGAAAGCTTTTGATCTGCTTTGCTATTTATAAACACCAATTGGAAGAAGAAAGCTCCATTGTCTTTAATCAAACAAAACCCATCTCCACTTTTCAGATTCCCCAAACATTAGAAAACGCACACAAGACTTGGATAAAAACTTCATCTTTCGTCCAAATCGGTGATCATCATCGTCTCTCATACTTGACTCCAGGTTCGTAAATTTTCGATCTTTCCCAAATTTTTAACCTTGATTGTTTCCTGTAATTGGCCCCTAGAAAAAAGGTTGATGCTTTATCAATTTTTATTAGGAATAGAGATGAAGGATTTTAGTTCCTTTTCTTTTTACTTTCTTGATGATTTTTTCTATGTAACTTTGATTATCTCAAATGTTTTGATCAGAGTGAGAATACTTCATATTGTTCCTTATTACTTAGACAAATTTGTCTTGAATCCGTCAGAGATTTAAATCCACGTTTCTTGATTTAGAGCCAAATACTGTATGATTCACTGACATGAGCTTTGATTAAATAGAATCATCTCTGGAACTAAGTTGAAAGGGTTTCTTGTCAGTAAATTCAAGAATTTTAGTCTCTCTTTCAATTTTTATTATTTTATTGGAATCATATGAGACCTCTCAGTGTATTTATATCCTCTGATGAGTCTTGCTAGGTCTAGTTTGAGTCAATGATAAGATTAGCTTTATAGAGTTAAACAGACTTAGTTTCAAGTTTCCAAATGTTTCCTAAGCTGATTCTTTTTGTAACTACTATACTTTCTACCCACCAAGATTCTCATTGTAATCTATGTGCTTTGGGTGTAATGTCTTTAAATCTTTCATAGATTTTGAGTTTATTTATTGAGCTTTCTTGTATTGTGTACTAATAATAGCTCATAATGGTGATTTTTTCAGACGAAATCCCTTTGTTTGACAAAGATTTGATCGAGACTACGAGAAGACAAAACCCGTTGAAGCAATCCAGGAATCGAAAAGATGGGTCTATCAAGCCTTCCTGGTCCATCAGAAGGAATGCTATGCGTGATATTAGTCAACACAGCATTATCAATCTCCATCTTCAAAGGCATTGTCAGATCAGTCCTTCACGTATTAGGAATCCGTCTCTCTCAGTCTTCGTCTTCCCCTTCTTCAGTAACTGCATCTTCAGAGATCCCAGCTTCAGAGCCATTTGATTTCCGTGTCTCCCACCCGGAGAGTTTCCTCGAGGAGTTTAGGAACAAGACTCCAACTCTGAGGTACGAGAGCTTGTGCAGGTGCAAGAAACACGAGGACAACGAGTGCTCGGTTTGCTTGTCGAAATTTGAAGAGGATTCAGAGATTAACAAGCTGAAATGTGGACACTTGTTTCACAAAACGTGCTTGGAGAAATGGATAGACTATTGGAACATCACTTGCCCACTGTGTAGGACTCCTCTTGTTGTTGTGGCAGCAGCAGAAGACCAGAAGCAGCTTTCTTCTAATGTTTGGTGACTTACTTTTCTTTTCGTTGTTTGTGTACAGCTTACTACTTTTTTACTATGAATTTAGGCTGCGTCGCGGTTAATTTCTTCAACAGATTTAAACCGGGGATGGGATAATCTGATGTACATATCCTGTGAGTTATATATATACCAATGTGTAATGGAGCTCTTGTTTGAACATATTGTTGATGAATCTATGTATGTGTGTGTGTGTGTGTTGACAAGGAGTCAAGGATTAAGAGCTCAGGTTTACAAAAAGTTATTTGGATAAGGAAGAATGTGTATACTTTGAGATTTTAAGTGTTGCTTTGGTGAGACGACAAAAAAAAAGAAAAAAGTGCTACTTTGGTGTAACAGATATGATATTTGACCAATAACTATTTAAAGACTTTGGTTACAAAATGGGAAAGATAAGAACATTACTACGTAATATCAATATGGTGGCAAATAAAGTAAACCCATGAGTAAAATCCAGAATAGATTCAATGTAAGACGCGAAAAGAGTGCCCTACACCAATTTCACCTATTTACATTGTGTCACACAGGTGTCAACCATTTGATTTAGGGATTAATGGTGCCGGTTTAGCAATTAATTATGCGGGACCAAGACATAGCTTAAATGAATTATGCTAGAATTGTCGTTTTGTCACCACTCGGCGTTAAACTAGTGTTTTAGTAAAGAAATTATCATCGTTAACCCTTTATTTGTTTGTTCATATCTTCTCTACTCCTCTAGGCGCTAATTATATATTGATATATCTTCAAAGATAGGCATAACAATATGAATTCGATTGTCTCAAACATGATTCATGCGTTTGTGTTTAGATGTGAGGATCTGAAATAATCATTTGGGTCGACGATATATAATACTATGCGGCCCTTTCCATAAGTTGAAGAACTAATTTTCCTAAAATAAAAGTTTAAAACTTATATACCCCAAATAATAGTTCAAACACTACTACAAGAAAAAATACCATTTTACAACGGCCGAAACGTACAACTGTTATAAAAGCCCTATTAATACGAACTAGCGACGGTTTGGAAATCATCGTAAATTCATCGTCGTAAACGACATTTCGTCGTAAAATCGTCGTACAATCTAGGACGGTTATAAATCGTCGTAACATCAACGTAAAGTGAACGTCGTAAAAGCGTCATAGCGTTATAATGGTTACGACGACTTTACATCGATTTGCCTTGATATGGTTTTCAGCGTAACCGTCGTAAAATCGTCGTTAAAAACCGACGTAGGTTCGCCGTATAATATACGACGTATATTTCGTCGTAATTCAATCGTAATAGTTTTTTTTCTTTTCGTCGTAAAACCATCGTAAAACACTGACATATATTCATCGTATATACATCGTATAAATATACGACGAATATTTGGTTGTAATTGGGTTATATGGATTACGACGATTTTACGACGATTTATTAAATAAATAATAAATATATTATGATGATTATGAAACGTTTTTTATAAATGAAAAAAAAAATTAATCCAAATTAAAATTTAATTAAAAAAGAAATAAATTAAAATTTAATTAAAATTTAAAATAAAAAAATTATAATAATTACAAAAAAACCTATCAAATATCTAACTCTAAACTAATATCGTCTATCCCTGCATTGTCCTGCTTCGGATCACCATCTTGCTCCACAGGTTCCTTGCCGACTCTTCGGTTGGAGGCTTCCGGCGCCTGATCCCCAGCTCTAGGAGGATCAACCCCGAGAGACCGGAACATCTCCTCGTCCGTCTGCACCGGTGGTTGCCTCCTAGAGGATGAAGAAGATACCCCGACGACTCCAGCTGCCCGCAACATGTCCAACTGCGCCTGGAGCAACGGGTTGTCGGCTCCCATAATCTCGAAGAGACCGTACAACTGGTCGATCTTCGTCTCATACTGCGTTTGCATTTGATGGAGCTCCTGGCGGATAACGACTGGATCCTCTGCCCGGACATGACCAGTCGCCGTAGCGACTGGGGTATCACGGATGGATCTCATCCCTAAAACCCGACCTTTCTTTTGAGGGGCAACCTGAAAAAATGTAGAAAACTTATGTAAAACAGTACAATATAAAGTTAAAACTAAACTAAATAAGAAAAATAAAGTAAATTAGACTTACATCTTCGAAAATCTGGTCCATCTCCGCCACCATCAATGTCGGGGTGGACTGGACCGAGCTATCTCCGGGAAACGTCGGAGGCGCCTGCTGAGTGAGCTGCGTCTGCCGCTCCTCGATCCGCGCACAGGTGGCGTTGTAAATCTCCTCCGCCCGAGGATCTGTGAATTCGCCGTCCTTATTCTTATGGGTCTCGGCGAAGACCTTCGTCATCGGAGGAAGTTCTCCCCCCTTTTCTTCGACCTACAAAATCAATTTGAAATTATTAATAAGACAAATAAGGTTTATTGAAAAAAAACTTATTAATAAAAACTTACCAACATAAGTCGTCTTCCGGCGAAAGGAATATGGCCAGAAGTGTGCGGGACATTCTGTGGATTTCCCGCATCGTCAGTAGCGTTCCTGAAAAATATAGTAATTAGATTTGTAATTAAACCAATATAATATTATAAATTAAAAACATTTTAATTTAATTTACAAAAATACCTGGACGTGGAACACTTGACGGCAATATTCTGGTTGTGCGGGGTCAACCGATGGTGCACCAGACCCTCTCAGGCGGTATCGGCCATTGGCGCCGGCTTGGCCTTGTTGCCGTCGATCTCCCACTTCCGCTTCTAGTCGGAAACGGTACTGTTGAGCCGGTACTTGACCTTCTCTTTGAAGGCCGCCTTCACACGTTCGTGTGCGGAAGTTTCACAATGCCAGTTTTGCTCGGAAAAAAGAGTTAGTAATTATTGTAAAAAATAAAAATAATAATATAAATCGTAATTTTAAATAACTTACCGCGAAACACTTGAACCAAGTGTCAATAGTTGTCTGATCCAGCTTCTTCCAGCTGGTATGGTGTTGTATGAAGAACCCCTTGATGATGTCGGAAACATTACGACCGACTGCGTTGTTGGTCGTAAACCTAGTTAGGAAAAAAATAAATTTGGTTAGATATTTCAATTAATTATAAAAATAAATCTTTTAAATAAAAATTTGTAAAAAAATAAAATTCATACCAAAATGTCCCCGGAGCTCGATCCGGATCGAGTTTCTTCATACTCCCACGACTCGATTGTCGTAAAAGATCCTCAACCGTAAATTGGGCATATGGTTCAGGCTGTATCCGGGCTGCGGCTGGTGCTGGTCCTGCTGGTTCGGCTGGTGCTGGTGGAGGCGGTGCAGGCTGTGGTACAACAACCGGTTTCGAAACCGTACGTTGTGTTCCCGAGGACTCCGGGATGGCGGACCCCGTAGCTGAGGCGGACGGAGCGGTACGTCCAAATCAACCATCTCCCGGTAGTAGAACCTCTTGGTCCGGAGAGCCATCTGAATAATCTACAAATTAAATTAAATATAATTACTAATTATATAATTTATTTCTAAAGTCCGGGCCTATCTAAATTTTGAATCTAACTAATTCTCCTAATTATATCTATATAAGGATTAAATTTAAACGAAATATAAATTATAATGAAAAAACTTTTTTAAAAAACTTACAAATTAAGGCTAGAGAGGAAGGAGAGGAGGGAGAGCTAGAGAGAGAGAGTATTTGTAGAGAGAGAGAAGTGAGGAATAAGCGATGAAGGAGGAAACTCGCGTCTCTTATATAGATTTTCTTATCGTCGTAAAGTCGTCGTAACGTTACGACGGTTTTACGACGATTTGGTTGTATAACCATCGTACCAGTGCATGACACGACACGTGTCCTGCTCACAGCGTTTGAGCATTACGACGATTTTACGACGATTGTTTATCAAACCGTCGTAATAGACCAACATTTATACCCTCGTACCTCGGATCTGGAGCCAATCCAACGGTTGTCATATGTATGATCGTCATTAACGTTACGACGGTTTAACGGCGGTTGAATGAACATTCATCGTAAAACCGTCGTAATGTTACGACGCTTGTACGACGGTTTTACGATGGTGTTTAAAAAAGTTATCAAACCCTAAATATTTCAAAAGGCTTATTGCATTAAGGACAACGCAAAGCTTGTTTTAAACTAACATATAACAATAGGTTCATCACTTTACATGTATGACTGATTTAGTATATGAGATAACAAATATTTAAGTCATCTTATCTATAATATAACTTTTTACTTAACATTTACAAAAACATGCATGAACTTGTAAATATGTATAATTTTTTTCAAATTTCTGATTTTGATCAGATTAAATACTTTTCATATCAAATAAGATAACCTATCAAAAACATTTGTGAAATAGCTAAAAACCAATCAGATATAAAAGATTCAAAATCTTGGATTTGAACCTTACGACGATTTTACGATAGTTTTGGGAGATCGTCGTAAACTCGTCGTACTACGACGGATCGTCGTAAAGTCGTCGTAATACTCATATACTATTTATTCATGGTATAAGACCTAAACTTGGGGTTTAGAGTTTACAAAAATCGTCGTAAAACCGCCGTAATGGTTATAGTTATTATTAAAAAAAATTCAAACAAACACAGTAACAAATTACATAATAACAAACATTCCCTAAAAAAATACATGAAAATCAATCAGATTCATCTTCTTCTAGTACTTCCTCACCATCTGCGTTGTCTTCCGCCAAATCGTCATCATCATCATCGGATTCAGCAAACTCATCACCTTCTTATTCTGTATCATCGGGGAGAACTTCAACTTGCCTATTCTGAGGGTCAATTAAAAAAATCTTCTCATCAACATATTGTTCAGTCAGATCTACGTACGTGTCCTGTTGCAGTAAAACATCCTCAACCCCTACAATTTTGCCCCTTAGAGCCACTTTAAGTACTGCTAACCATGAGATTCCTGTTACTCGAACTCGGGGGTATGGCAGAAATGTGACATGTTCTGCTTGAGAAGCTAATATAAATGGCTCAAACCTGTTGTACCGTCGTGATTTGTTCATGTCAACAACTCCAAACTTGTTTAGACATACCCCCTCTACCAACAGTTGGATCAAACTAATCACATTTGAAGAGAACAGTTTTCAGCCTTAACAATCCAGGATACACCACTTCAATTATTTCTTGCAGAACTCCATAAAAATTTATTTCACCCCTCACACAAACTCCATAGTTAGTTGTTGCCCGCTTTGCACGGTGATGATATGTGTGAAAAACATAGCCCCGAGTGAAATACATGGAGGCTGTC